TGGTTTAACGCAGCTTTTAGCAATATTCCAGCAATATCACAGCGGGGGACACCAGAAATGGGCTTCACACATTGTACCCATGTCGGGAATCGAACCCGGGTCAACGGCGTGACAAGCAAACGCTTTAACCACTAGGCTACCCAACCTCCCTGAAAGATATATGACAATCGGTATTAAGAGAGAAGGTAATCGGCATGAGGATTGTGGGAATATGCGGGAAATACCAAACTTAACCCACTTATTCATAAAATGGACTTGTCCGACATTGCCAAGGTTGGATTCTATTCAGGGAGTCATCATTATTAAAACATTAAGGAAACTATTTTCTAAGCTTCACATTCGATCAACTTCCTTAAAGAGGCTGTATATAATGTTGATATCTCATGCATTAAATAAACGACTCTTGGTCATTATTTATCGTACAATAAACAACTCCCACTCATCGTTTATTTCTTAATTAAACCCTCTTACAAATAAAAACATTGTAAGAATGGATTATGGACATGAGGTACCTAGTAAGTGAAACATTTTCAATTCATAAAATATTTAATATAATGTTTCTAGATAGCTATTCATGAAGCTATTTTGAGATAGAAGTAAACCTTTAAGATATTAAAACTGTTTCTGCGTTATAAAAATATAAAATCCAAAGATTTAAGAAATAATATTTCTAAATATATAAATATCATGTAATTCTTGAGTAGTTGTGAATAGCAAAAATAAAACATTTAAACCTCTGAAATCAATGCACATACAGCATTCCTACTCAAACAGTCATCCAGTGCTTATAACACTCCTGTCCTATTGCTTATAAATCCAAAACAATATCAGCATTCCAGCGAAAGCTTTACCAAAACAATCATAACCAATGATAGGATCAAGGAAGATTAGACCAGCAGACATATTTCCATATTCTCTACACAAAGCATAAGGCAGCACAGAAGGTTCCGTTTAATTAAATTAATTATACATAGCCAATTCCTGCTATCAGAGCGCCGAAGACTGGACTTGAGTCGGTACTCCAGCAGGATAAATCTCAGCTGCTGTCTCCCTGACTTGCATTCTGATGATGTCATCAACGCTGTTTGCAAAGGTCAGCAGTCCAAACTGACCAGACAAAGGACTTACTTAGGATGAATATTCTGTAGTAGCGTTTACTTAAAGACCATGGACGAGCTTGTAGCAAATATTGGAAAATAATTCCAGTCAGAATCAAATCATATCTTGTATTTGATGTACTAAACTGCCAGACAAAGGAAAATATATGCCTATTTTGATGATGGCTAAGAATAACAAACAAACAAGAAATGGTTTTTCGATGGTGATGTATTTGATATAGGTAACATAGCTGTGTTTTTTACCTGTTTCTGTGACTTTTAAGTAAAGCCAGGAAGGTTTCGACAATATTTGACCTTTTTTTGTCAAATCCAATTATCAGGTGTATACTTTTTTTCTGTTGTTACAGTAGTATAGTCTGGAAGGTAATTTAAGGTACCGACGTTTACTACAATATCTAAAAAACTATCGAACCTACTCCAGTCAAAGTTGGTATGGGATTATTAAACAGTCATACATAACGGGAATCACGCATGCACGAATACGGTGTTAGTGTTGGGCGTCTCAACGTGCGTGATTCCCGTGCACCCTTTCGAGTTGAGTTGATTGGTTCAACTGTGTCATATGGCCCTGGGACGCAGGGGTAGCATTATGCAGATGGCTGTTACAATGAATGCTTGTTCCACCTGTGACGAACAGGTCTGGTTGTTGATGAAATATAGTGATAGCTAAATAGACAGATTTTTTTTTCATGCACCGATTATCTTTAAATGTAATATCCAGTTATGTATGGCTGTTTAATAATCTCATACCAACATTGACTGGAGTAGGTCCGATAGGTTTTCAGATATTGTAGCAAACGTCGGTACCTTAAATTACCTTCCAGACTATAATTAGAACAATGTTTTGATTGCAGTGAGCAATGTTATGTAATCACCACAACTGCTGTTAAGGTAATGGGTGCTGTAATACAAAAGAACCTTAGCGCTACGACTGTTGTAAGTCCATGTTAAGGTATGGGAGTTACGATCACCTTAGCGCTAAGGTTGACTACTCTGGACATTTTCACCATGTGAGTGAGCAGTAGTTTGCTTATAATTATACAATTATTTGACAATGTTGCTGGACAAAATGTTGGCATTCATGGTTGGTGACTGCCATAATGGTTTGTCAACTTGTGTGAATAAATGTGAACATACTTAGGGTGAGAACTGATGCCAAGGTGGAGGTACTGGATGTGATCAGTCTGAGCAGTTTTTGAGTATGTGAGTGAGTTCATGAGTGAGTTCGTGGGTTCGTGAGTTCATGAGTGATTGAGTTAATGAGTGAGTGAGTGAGTGAGTTTGTGGGTTCGTTAGTTCATGAGTGAGTGGGTTCATGATTGAGTTCATGATTGAGTTCATGAGTGAGTTCATGAGTGAGTTAAATGAGTGAGTGTGTTCATGAGTTCATGAGTTCATGAGCGAGTGTATCGCGGCGTGTCAGCTTAATGTGGGATGAAAACCCAAAGTGATGCAGGTCTCAGATGTTTACCACTTTGGTGAAACCCACGAGCACGGGTGTGGTACTGACAAACCTTGAAACATAATCGGTGTGAACTGGGACTCAAACACACAATCATAGATTTAGGAGAGACCAAGGGAAGCAACTCTGGACAGCAAACTGTGGCACCTTAAACGACGGGGCGACGTGTGCCCCCCGCATGAAGCACATGTGAGAAGTACATTATTTGGAGCTTTGTAATATGATATTTGACTTTGTTTACAGACTAAATGCAGTAAAGCTGACCACAATAAACTCTGATAGCAGGAAGCTAGCAAGGGACGCCCACATTTTTCACATTAATTTCATGATATACAGCATTTATTGATGAAATAGCTAAAAGCTTTTCCTGGTTAACATGTCTTGTTTATTTGTTTATTTGTTTGTTTGTTAGTTAATGCCGCACTCAGTAATATTCCAGCTATAAAATACAGTCAAATACAGTCCCACTGGTGGATCTTCCTGAGGCAAGGGCGTTAACTGACTGTAAAAGTCCAGTTTCCATCCTTGCCGAACTAGGCTGGAATGTCTGGGCTCGATTGTAAGCCACCAGTGGATATTAAGAGTTATGTCCCTCCAATGTCCCTCCTATTCACCAATCAGATTCGATGATGAAGATCTTTATCGTAATAAAACAGGTCTTCCCTCACGAAATGCATCAAATCACGTGATCACCTTGATAAGAAACAGGAAAAGATTTGTAAAATATCTGCCGACGCCCTGCAGTCAACCGAAATCTGCACGTTGAATCCATTTTGTTTACAAACCTGATGTCGATTTCGTTACGCGATTTTGATTGGACTAAGCATAGACTCATTAGTACAGCCAAAATATAACTCCATAATTCAAGCCTAGCTCAGCAAGGGTTTGTAACAGGACTTTAAAAGTCAGTTAATTCCCTTGCTTCGGGAAGATGGTGGATCCCATACAGGGGGAGCACACCCCTCCCCTTTTTCAGACACTTTACATATTTTTCAGACACTTTATCATATTAGCAGCCTCCTGGTCCAAGCCACTTCATGAATTGGGTATTGTGTGCAGTATTTTTCTTAAATCCTGAATCCACCTCTGCTGTCTGTTTAAATTCTATTTTAGTGTTTATTTACATATTTAATTATCTTTTATCTCATATATTTCTCTATATTGACTAGAATTAATAGAGGATATGTGGCTTTTCTTGTCAAATATCTGGTCCATCTCATCGAATGGCATGATAAAAATGATACAGCAACAAGTGAAAATGTCATATTTTTCAGGTCATGTGATGAGATGAACATATTATTTCACAAAAGAAGACAATTGTTTTACTAATTTTCCCATTAATATGTTTCAGTCTGAAAACCACAGTGTCTGTCAGGTATAGACAGAGAATTACGGATGTTCTGGCAAATAGTGCTATTTCTCCTCAGTGAAATATTAATTTAATATTTTCAGATAAGTATAGATTTCATCTCTAAATCCATTATTTAGACGATATCTTACTTGTAGGCATATTTTTGAAAATAGGCATCACTGCCATGCATTAAACATATCTATATTTATATATAGTAAAATGCCAAAATAGAATACATCTTATATAATTTTAACATGGTATTTCCCCTTTAACCTTTCTTACCTGGTACATGCATACTAATAATCTGGTTAAACAAAGTTTGTATACAAAATAAAGCATATCAGTAATTAATTATACAAATAATGTCAAAATACATCTGAACCATACATATCTATGCTAATAGAGAAGGCAGAAAAATGTCTTATAAATAATTCAGATTAGTTCTCATTTCCATATGTGGTATGATGTCCTTAATAAACAGGGAAACTAAAAAAATATTAGCATGCATGTTGCTCTTGATAACTCGGCAAACAGTGAGTGAGTTATTGAGTGAGTATGGCTTTATGCCTCTTTTAGCAATATTCCAGTAATATCAAAGCGGGGGACACCAGAAATAGGCTTCACACATTGTACCCATGTCGGAAATAGAACCCGAGTCTTCGGCGTGACGAGCAAACCCTTTAACCACTAGGCTACCCGACCGCCCCCAGTGAACAGTGAAAATACACCAGCACGATGACAAATCATTAACAGTTTAACTGAATGATCACATGACAATAACAAGCGGCTTTCAACAGAAAATTATTGTATGAAACAGATTCAAAGAATGAGATCTGAAATAAATTATATATGTTTAAGTTATTGTTATAACATATTAATAGAAAGAAAATGAAGTCCTTCTTACCCATGACTTAAGTATGATGTCTGACAGTATTTTCATTATGATGACACAAGCATCAGTCATCTCTGTAGGAAATGACTCTCACACCTATTGCCAGATTACTTCCTGTTTATGTACAGCCATCATGTAAGATGTCATGACGTGGTAACAACAATGTATTGGATCCAGAGAAGTGTGTGGTACTGGAGGGATGTGGTTGTTTGTCACTAGTAGAGCTAGGGAGGGTCCAGACGTCCCCCTCCTCTCACCCCTCCTCTCACCCCCTCCGAGACTCACCCCTCCTCTCACCCCCTCCAAGACTCACTCCTCCTCTCACCCCCTCTGAGACTCACCCCTCCTCTCACCCCCTCCGAGACTCACCCCTCCTCTCACCCCCTCCTCTCACCCCCTCCTCTCACCCCTCCTCTCACCCCTCTGAGACTCACCCCCTCCTCTCACACCCTCCGAGACTCACCCCTCCTCTCACACCCTCCGAGACTCACCCCCTCCTCTCACCCCCTCCAAGACTCACCCCTCCTCTCACCCCCTCTGAGACTCACCCCTCCTCTCACACCCTCCGAGACTCACCCCTCCTCTCACCCCCTCTGAGACTCACCCCTCCTCTCACCCCCTCTGAGACTCACCCCTCCTCTCACCCCCTCTGAGACTCACCCCTCCTCTCACACCCTCCTAGACTCACCCCTCCTCTCACCCCTCCTCTCACCCCCTCTGAGACTCACCCCTCCTCTCACCCCCTCCTAGACTCACCCCTCCTCTCACCCCCTCTGAGACTCACCCCTCCTCTCACACCCTCCTAGACTCACCCCTCCTCACATACATAGTATATTGATGATCATGTTTTGTTTGCTCAGCAATATTCCAGCTACATGACAGCCACCTGTAAACATTGATCTTGACCCGACAATCCAGTGGTTGATATCATGAGCACCATCCCATGCCACTGAGTCATGATAACCACAATCAGCCAAGTCACTAAACTAACCATCCATACATTTTGACACCCCTTATGACCAGCGTGGGTAGCTGATTACCCAGAATCCCCAAGGGGTGTCATCAGGATAAACAGGATCTTGCATACCCACAACTCAACACCTCAGAGCCTCCTTCCACAAAGCGATCGTAGCGCTACCGTTCCCGTAATTCAATGTTAATTCATGGGCATTAAAATCGCCTTAGCAATAAGTTCGCATTGTGGAAGGGGGACCACTATTTCAATACTTCAAGATTCAACGTAGAGAAAGCCCACTGAAACAGTTCCCCCTATGGGAGAAACACTTACTCTACACAATGAAACTGTATTGGAATTTGGTGCAAGAGATGCTCACATCATCATTTTCTGAGCTCCATGGACTAGCCCTGGGTAATATCTGCTTGTCAGGGCTGTCTGCAGGGTTTAGTATTACAAATATAATAGAGATGAGCTTATTTCATCCCTAGTGTCATAACTCACTATAACTGATAGTAGCTGGACGCAGATCCCTTTCATCTGCAACATGTTTATGATTTATCATTATTAGTCATGAATGGATGGGATAAAACTCGTTACAGACCTTCTTTGACCAGTCCATGAATAGAAATCATCTGGTTATAAACAACTAAATGAAATTTCTAATTTGAAAACTATTTCTGCTTGTGAAGATATTTTCAAATAAATCAATAGCTACAAAGAGCAGAAGTATACAATAGAATCATATGTAATTCTTCAAGGGCAAAGGGTTTTGAGGGTTTGATAGTTTGTAATGTCAAAGGAAAACATGGAAAACCTTTACTGAATGTATTGTTTTGTCTCCATGAGACAAGAATGAACTTTTAAGTAAGTGGGTGAGGTGAGGTGAAATGGGGTTTAACGTCGCGTCCAAGATTATTGCACTTATATAGCGACGTACATGCACGTGTGTGTGTGTGTGTGTGTGTGTGTGTGTGTGTGTGTGTGTGTGTGTGTGTGTATCTGCTTGTACTAGTCCGGACTGATGCCGATTTATAGTGCTAGCTCATTGAGATACCATGCCACAGTTTAACATGAATACCCCACTCTGACACAGTATGAGCCGACCAGTCCTTGTTTTAGCCCCTTAATGCCGAGCGCCAGACAGGGTAGCAACAAGTACCATCTTTCAACATCTTTTGGTATGACGCGGCCGGGGATCAAACCCCGGACCTTCCGCTCTCTGGGCGGACACTCTACCTCAAGACCACGGAGGCATTTTTTAAGTGAGTGGGTGAGTGAGTTGGGTTTAACGCCGTTCTGAACAATATTCTGTTACAAATAAATTTTCGTTGTGTTCATTGTAATTCGTGCATTCTGATTACCTAAATTGGGCATGTGTTATTGCATTCATTTCCAAATGAATATAAAAAATTAACCCAGGCCCACCGAAGCGGACTACTTTTATTTCAACAGAATGTCAGGGAAACCCAATATTACAGTCGAGGGAATTCCCTTTCTGCTCGGCGGATTCATACAGTTTGCACATCGGTTTTTCGATTCATACCTCATTGAACCGGGAAAAAAACAACACAGTCAATCCTTAAATATTACAGCATGTCAGCTTGATGTGGGAGGAAAGCCCGAAGTGATGCAGGCGTCAGATCTTTACCAGGTATGGTGCTGACAAACCTAGCAACATAATTGGGGCGAACTGAGATTCGAACCCATGATCATAGGTTTCTGGCAGGCCCAAGGGAGGCAACTCTGCACAGCGAATATGTATAAAATATCAACAGCAATATAATGGCACAACATTAGCTATGTACACTGGGGAAAGGTCAGATATCATATATGTGGTTTGAATGCTTCACTCACTTATACAGAGAATTTAGAAACCTCAACGCAGATTAGAAAGATCACCTTCGTCTTTGGATCTTCATGGGGTGGTCAGGTAGCCTAGTGGTTAAAGCGTTTGATTGTCACGCCAACGACCCAGGTTCGATTCCCGACATGGGTACAATGTGTGAAGCCCATTTCTGATGTCCCCCGCCATGATATTGCTGGAATATTGCAGAGAGGTATAACCAATCTGATTTTAAAGAGGCTGCTAAATAAAATCTCACTTTCTATGGATTAAGATCCTTAAAATGAGCTCCCAGAAATAATTTGTGCATCCATTTATATCCGACATAGAATCTAGAATAGATTATTGAGATTCCAATTATACTAAGAAAAGAATTTCCTACAATTAGGGTCCAAAGGTCAATGACTACAGTTTCATAATCCTTTAGATGTATGATTGGCACTCTCAGAACTATGTAAGACATTTTGTTTAAATTTGGCAAATTTTGATCCTCACATGAAGTGGAGACCTAACATGATAGTTATTGATCTGAGACAGATGGCAGACAGAAGTCTTCAGACACCCAAGGTTGGACTTATATTATGACACAAGGAGTAATCGCTGTCCATGCCAAACCGGATGTTGGTAGGTAGCAACTACTATTTTCTCACTGGATGGTAAAAATAGTTCATAATTTGGAACTAAATCTAACTTATATCATGCACCAAAGGGCTTCCAGGCCACAATCCTTATAGTACCGTATTGGACGTAATAAGCGCCCACGGCGATATGTGCTAATATGTTGGCTAGTGAACAATCCCAATCAGCACCCCTTCCGATTGATCAATGTACACAAGACTTATTTATTTGTGCATAATACGCACTCGTGTGTTATATCACCCTTGATTATGGGCAATTAAATTCTTGAAAAATATATCTGTCGTATGTAAACATTTCAGGCTGTTAGCATAAACCACGAAATTTACGATCTTTCAACTCAAAATAATATTCTAATAAGCGCCCCCTATTTCTAATTTTGAGAGTGCCCTGGGCGCTTATTACGTCGAATACGGTATTTATATATGACATCTAATAATAAGTTAAATATTTCTTACTTTACTTGTGGTGTCATCTGGCACGATAGCGGTGAATCGAAAACAAGGTGCTTTTCGGAGTAAAAACAGCATTATTACTTCATACCTGTGATGTGTTTTAATAATACTGTCTGGGTAGTTAGTATTAAAAAGTTTGATTTGAACAGATTTAAACAGCAGTGATAATGATGAAAACTGTACTGATAAAAACATTTAAGGATATTTTGTTAGTCCATGTGTTCTCTCATTTGTTAGTCCATGTATTCTCCAATCTCATTCTAACCAGATCATAGTTCTTGCTATCACTGAACAAAGATCTGAGGACATCCCATTATGGGTCACATCAGAACGACCTTTCATTCGACCAATCAAAGCGTCGCTTACCAGATCATGAAAGTGACAGTAGGAATGTGATTTCTAATCATGCAACCTTGAAAACGTTAACACGGGGTATTCCGAACAACAGTTACGTCCTGTACGGCTGATTCCGTCAAAATTATCGTCTATGTTACGCTTCTGTGGGATAAACATTTGAACGGAGGAGGTACGTTGGAAGCACTGCCATACAATCGCAACCATATATTAGACAATCCAGAATATTTGTTTGTTCAGATTTTAAAATTTTAATCAAGAACTGTGTCAACATATTTTTCAAGCGCAGTCTGAAATGAAAGTCGCCAGTTTGAAACGAGTGCCGTCAACCTTAAAAAAAGCTGCTTTCTAATTGGCTGATGTCCATTTCTTGTTAGTTGTTCAGTGGTCGGTCAAAGTTCGAGAAAGGTCGTTCTGACGTGACCCGTAATGGGATGTCCTCAGATCTTTGTTTAGCGACAGTGAGAACTTAGATCTGATTTTAATGAGATTGATGTATTCTCTCATTCGTTAGTCCATGTTTAACTACTTTGTTTTGGCCGCAAATATCCTTACACATGCCCATGTGAATTTAAGCAATAACACATATTCTCATTCTTGTTGAATAAAAATAACAATTCTTTTTCGATAATCATAAAACATCTCCTTTAAAAGCAACGTCCATTGTACGATTCCGACTTTATTATATTTGTTTGCTTTTTGTTCAACGCTACTTTCAGCAATATTTCAGCTGAATATTATTCCAAGTTTTTCCAATATTCGTATGTAAATACTTTTACGATTGTGGTCCAACTTAGTATGTATCTTGAAATTTCAAATTATTAACTTGAAATCTCAACATAGCATCTTGAAATTTCAAGTTAGTATCTTTAAATTTCAAGAAAAAAAGAAAAAGACAAATAGCACTAAAAGGTTTTCGTGTGTGTCTGTAGATGTAGAAGTCCAAATATGGCCTACCACTACATATGACATATGACAATTCAGTGTAATCAGAAATAGCTTTGAAAAATGGTTTCTATCATTTCTAGAATGACAAACATCCTCAAAATTTTGTACCCATATCGGGAATTGAACCCGGGTCTTCGGCTTGACGAGGGAACGCTTTAACCACTAGGCTACCTGACCCCCCAGAAGGTATTTGAAGACATGCATAATAAATGAAATGTGAAACATGTCATTTTCCCCAATGTATATATGTGAAAAAATGGTAAATAATATTCATCAACACGTTTTTTAAAAGTGGTAAAGCTATAATTAATTATATACATTTTCATTTTCTTTAGCTCTATTTGATACGGCAGAACAAATGCACAAACATTTATTTTCAAAATAATGTGCAGTGAGTTCACAAAAAGACTCTGCAAGCACAGGACAATTGTAAATATAGATATTACATATACTGTATTC